AATCCATTAGAAACGCAACTTTTTTGACGTATCGGTTATGTGTCACAAAATCTTAGTTTTTAAAGTTGGTAAATTGGGATATCATTGCAATTTTGGTACAGAGTAAATTTCTTAGTATAGTGTATTTTCCCTATTCCTGCAAATAACTTTGACAGTTTTCAAGCTACGACAGTTTTGTATACCTCACTTTAATCCATAAGAAAGTCACTTTCTTTTGACATATCGCTTATTCAATAAATTTTGAGTTCTTAAAATTGGTAAAAATTGGGATATGATTAAAATTTTTGGTACAGAGTAAATTTCTAGTATATTGTATTTTCCCTATTCCTGAAAATAACTTTGACAGTTTTCAAGCTACGGACAGTTTTGTATAACTTATTTTAATCCATAAGAAAGCACTTCTTTTGACATATCGCTTATTCAAAAATCTAAGTTCTTAAAATTGGTAAAATGGGATATCATTACAATTTGTGGTAAAGGGGAAATTCTTAGTAAATGGATTTTCCCTATTCTGCAAATAACTTGACAGTTTTCAAGCTACGAAGTTTTGTTTAACTCATTTTATCCATAAGAAACGAACTTTCTTTGACATATCGCTTCTTCAAAAATCTTAACTTCAAAATTGGTAAAATTAGGATCATTACAATTTTTGAATAGGGTAAATTTCTTATTATATTGTATTTCTATATTCCTGCAAATAACTTTGACAGTTTTCAAGCTACAACTCTTTTGTATACCTCATTTTAATCCATAAGAAACGAACTATCTTTTGACGTATCGCTCTTCAAAATCTTAAGTTCTTAAAATTGGTAAAAATTGGGATATCATTACAAATTTTGGTACAGAGTAAATTTCTTACAGCCTTATTTATAAAAAAAATTATTTTTGGTTTATTACCTTTTGTAGTTATTAAAGCCTTTTCGTGTTATAAACTCTTAATAAAATATAATATTCAGAAACCTTTAATATATAGTTTATTAGTATAAAACATTTTTTCAAATGTTTGGTATTTTTACTGGCAACACTTCATTTTTTAGTTGTCAGTTATACAATTTTGAAATAAAATTTTCAATTAATTCTTGTGAAAATGGAAACAAAAGATATTAAAGATAATATAAAAAGGAAGCGTGGAGACAATTGGATACCTGAAGATAAGGTAATTAAACATTAATTTTGTTATAGCGAAGATTTAACCATATGTATATTCATAAATCCATATTTTTTCGTTTTTGTATATAGATTTTATTAAAGGATCTAATAAAGGAACGTGTTGATCAAATAGAGGACAAGAATACGGACACAAACACCAACCAAAGGAAGAAAAAAGTATGGATGGAACTGCAAGAAAAGTATGTATATTAATTTTATTCATTTAAGATTAGTTAATGGGATTAGAATTTCTAGTTTCAACAATTTATGTCAAGGTTGTCCACGTTCATTGCTTCAACTGAAATCGCAGTGGACCACAATGAAAATTCAAGCAAAAAAGGAAATGAGCGACTAGGAGAGATTCTTAAAACTGGGGGAGGACCAAAACCGGTTGAATCTACATTATTGGCCAACGAACTTAGCGTTTGGTTACCAAATGAGTTCGTGGTGGATACTAATGAGTTTGATTGTGATGCTATTATTACTGAGGTATGAAATGTCCAAGTATATATATACATACAAACATGTATTTTTACTTACCCTGTTACTAAACTAAAACACTTCTTTAAATTTTAAAATTAGATAAATACCAATGTGTTAAATGAAGTCAGTCAAAGTAATTCTGCAAACGTATGTAAAGGAACGCTATAATTTTTTATTCAAAGGAAAACTTATGTACATTTGCGTTTTATTTATAGTCGGAAAAAGTTGATTTATCTTCGGTACCAGAAGATAATGTAACAGTGAACTAACAATGGAACAATGTCGGGACAAGAAGACAATGCAGCAGTAAATATTGTTAGCATCGGCTGAAATAAAAAATGAATTTACCTCAGTAAAGAAAAAGGTAAAATTATTAATACATTATATATCAACCGATATAAAAAATAAAAAATTAGATATATCATGTGATTTTAAAATATGTTTTTAGAAGAAACCTAAAAACAAATATGCACGACGAAAAAATTAAATCCATTGCTGATATAGAAACGCAATGCCGCAAAGAGCTCCACATTCTGCAAGTTGAAAATGAGAAAAAAGATAGGTCTAAATCTGACCTAGAAAATGAACTGATCAGAAACCAAAATAATGATTAACAAAAACAAATTGGCTGGTAAGTATTTCGTTTAATTGATATATTTATTATTATAAAAATTTATATTAATAAATGCATACATATATAAAGCTAAAAGTGTTTTTGAATAAAACTATTTAAAATAATTTTTGACCGAGTATCTTGTTGTTCCGTCCAATTATTTTGATTTTCTTCCATTATATTTTGTATATCAATTGTCACATCTATGTTAGAATCATCTAAAAATATATATTTTTTACAGATTGGGGAAAAATGCAAGCAAAAGAAACATGTTTAAAATAAATGAAATGTTTATATTTTTAACAAAATGGTATAATTTTTAATTAGCAATTAATTTTTATTAATAACTAATTTAAATTAGTTATTGTTATTATTTGTATGCAATTAAAATAAAAAAACTTACTTATTCAATTAATATTTTATTGAAATAACTATATGATTTTCTTACCTGGTGTTGTGTCCTTTTCTTCAACAGCAATATTGTGAAGAACAGCCAGAGCTATAATTAAAGTTTTTCCATTTTCCAGACTTACTGTTAATCCATCCAGCAAGCAACGAAATCTCTGCTTCCATACCCCGAAGCATCGTTCCACCGTATTTCTCGTTGCTATATGAGCTTTATTATATTTAATCTCTTTTTCGCTTTGAGGTCTTAATAAAGGAGTAAAGAGGTATGGTTGCAATTTGTATCCTGAATCACCTAATAAACGACCTCTGAAATCTTTGTTTTCAAAACGTTCTTTAATATTTGATTCATTAAATATGCGGCAGTCGTGTGTGCTTCCTCTCCATCTAGCAACTATGTCCCTTATTTTAAGGTTAGCATCACAAACGACCTTTGCAAATATTAAAATGGGGCAAAGTTATTACAAAATTAATTTCAAATACATAATTATAAGGATATACCTGTATATTGAGAGAATAATACCCCTTTCTGTTTATATAATATTGGGCAAGACTTCCACCTGTTTTCTTTATTTTTATATGGGTGCCGTCTATTGCACCAATAATTCCAGGAAAATTTTTTATTGCTTTAAATTCTCTCATCACTTCTTGTTCTTCGCTTAAGTTGCTGGGCATTTTGATTTTTTCTCTTGCGTGTCTTGCCAAAGCCCGCGCTACCCTAGCACATATTCTTGACACAGTTGGTTGTGTTAGGCCATGCAATTCTGCAGCATCATCTTGAGCCTGAAGAAATAATATTAATATAGAACATGTGTAAGTTGACATATTTTACCTCTCTCCTTCCCCAACATCTTAACGCTACCAACACTTGGAGTTCCGGTGATGTTCCACATCCTCTTTTTTCTAACTTAATGTCTTCCATTGTCATTGCTACAATCTTTTTTACTGTGGTCTTTCGTAAACCGGTATCTGCCTTTAAAATTCTCATCGGATAGCGCGAATGGATCCGTCCTTGGATTGTAAACTTTTGTAGATCTTGTTTGGGCAATATCATCTTAAAAGTTATACATATTTACGTATTATTTTGAAATTAAGAATGTAATTATTGTACTTACGAATATTATTAATTGCATTAATAGCGTTCATTTTAAACGTTTTTTTTTGCAGTATCAAATATTGGGTTTTTTAAATATGAATTTCACTCAAATTTGTATAAATAATGTCAATTTTCTTTTTATAGTTGGTTTATAGTAGGTACTTACCTACAATAAAATTTTTATTTTTACAACATTTTATAAATTACTTTTATTGAGAAAAAGTTATTATGAATAAAGATTTTTTAAAAACTACATGTAAACCATTAATAAAAGTGCTCAAATCGATTATAAATAAGGCTGTTAGTATATTGTATTTTCTCTATTCCTGCCAAATAACTTTGACAGTTTTCAAGCTACGACAATTTTGTATTGCAATTTAGGTACAGAGTAAAATTTCTTAGTATATTGTATTTTCCCTATTCCTGCAAATAACTTTGACAGTTTTCAAGCTACGACAGTTTTGTATACCTCATTTTAATCCATAAGAAACGAACTTTCTTTCGACACATCGCTTCTTCAAAAATCTTAAGTTCTTAAAATTGGTAAAATTGGGATATCATTACAATTTTTGTTCTTAGTAAATGGTATTTTCCCTATTCCTGAAAATAACTTTGACAGTTTTCAAGCTACGACAGTGTTGTATACCTCATTTTAATTCACAAGAAACGAACTTTCTTCTGACACATCGCTTCTTCAAAATCTTAGTTCTTAAATTGGTAAAATTGGGATATCATTACAATTTTGTTCTTAGTAAATGGTATTTCCCTATTTCTGCAAATACTTTGACAGTTTTCAAGCTACGACAGTTTGTTTACCTTATTTTAATCCATAAGAAACGAACTTTCTTTCGACACATCGCTTCTTCAAAAATCTTAAGTTCTTAAAATTGGTAAAATTGGGATATCATTACAATTTTTGTTCTTAGTAAATGGTATTTTCCATATTCCTGAAAATAACTTTGACAGTTTTCAAGCTACGACAGTTTTGTATCCTCATTTAATTCACAAGAAACGAACTTTCTTCTGACACATCGCTTCTTCAAAAATCTTAAGTTCTTAAAATTGGTAAAATTGGGATATCATTACAATTTTGTTCTTAGTAAATGGTATTTTCCCTATTTCTGCAAATAACT